CAGAGGGTGCTGGCATACCGCTCCGTCTTGGTTTTCCCTGGACCACGGACCCTTTGGTGCCAGAGGCCTGGGGAAGAGCTGAGGGCCACAGATGAGCCAGGAGAAGTCTTGATAATCCTACTCACCCCAGACGAAAATTATGGGAAAAATCTGTAATCTTTATTACAAGAAAAGTCTAGACAAGAATATGTGTAGAGAAAGTCCGTCTAGACCGCGTGCAGGATGCGCGTTACAAACCCCTGTCATCACTGCTCAGGCGTGGTGGCCTTTGAACTCTACGCCCTCAAACTCCCTGCACCACGCGATGCCGCTAACCCTCCCTCCGTTCCTCCTCCGTTTCTTCCTTTCTTCCACGGATTCACTGAGTGCCACATGGGCCAGGTGCTGGGCTAAGTGCTGAGTGTACGGATGAAGAGGACACAGTCCCAGCTCAGGGACACTCCCTCAAAGAGCAAAGTCTCCCGAGGGAGTCTGATGGGAAAACCTTTAATGGAGCTTCACAGAAAGTATGACCAGAGCACAGAGCAAAGCGGGACAGGGCAAGACTGTCCTGAGGATAAGACTCAGAGGAGCAGAGGCCCCACAAGCAATTCAGTTCAACAACAAGGGCCGGGGATGCCGTGAAGATGCCAGTTGGGTCCTTGCCCTCTAGGGGCTTCATGTTTAGTAGGAAATGATCTCTGGTTTTCACGACATTAAATTCTTCTGGCTCTGCTCTCATCTTTCTCACCATTCATCCCTTCTAAATCCTCTCTGGATCTTCCCCTACTTTCTGTGGCCCCTGGAACCTGGTCCAGCCCACGGTTCCGCCCACGGCCCTCTTCCCTCTCTGCTTTTCCTTGTCAAAATCGTGCGTCAAGATAATTCAGAAACGTTCGCGCTTCTTTCTTAAGTTCTAGATCCAGATTTTCAACGTGGCCTCTTTCTTACCTTCTAGATTCAGACTTTCTTTCTGGGGTTCTAGTTCAGATTTTTAGCTACCTGTCTCCAAAGGGATGTTCGGCTGCCAGCATCTCAGACTCTGCCTCTAGACAGTGATGCTGTTGTCCACTTGGTATTACTTTTGACATATTCCTTTCTTTTACTCTCTCAGTCTGTGTTCTGTGAATTTTAAGTGAGTCTTCACATCTACTCTTTTCCTCTTCTACTACCGTTGACAATATCCAGTTCAAGCCCTTCTGATTTCTCTTGTGGCTAGTGATGTGAACTTAGCGTGATCACCTATGAATTCATCTCTTTTCGTCTTTTTCCTTTTATCTTCTGCTGCTGGATTAATCTTTCTAAAGGAAAGACGCAATCATCTAACACTACCCAGTTAAAGAAAAAAAAATCCTCAGTGGCTGAAAACTGCTTTCTGACCAATGACCGACATCCCCGGCATTGTATCCAAGCTTGTTGGGTGCACAGTGCAGGGTAAGGAGTAGACAGTAACAAAGATTTGATGCTATCGCTATTTTTAGTGGATGAAACGAAGGTAGCTAACTTCCTGGGTCCTCGCCCCACTGACGCCCCCTCTGGCCAGGACGCCCCCGAGCCTGCTCCACCCCCGAACCCCTCGTCCTAGCCCAGGGTCCCCTCTCTGCTGGTGACCAGCTCACAGGGCCTTCTCCTCTGTGGAGAATTATAGCCACGCACGCTGCACCCGCGTTATGTTCTCTAGTTTCTGAGGTTCACATGCATCTTGTTTTGGCGTTCACGTGAACCCCGCGGGCGGTGCTATTACTGACATCTTAGGAGCCTGGTATGTGCACCAGTTAAGTGACTTGCCCAAGACCACACGACCGGTGGTGGCAGAGGCGGACTGCTACCTGCAGTGCTTCTCTGCTGCGTCCTACTTGTCCTTGAAGCCTCTTCTGTTTCCCCTCCCTGTGTCTCGCTAGGGGTCTCAGGACAACCTCTGTTCCCTCCCCAAACACAGGGAATTACCAGATTCACCTCTGCTGAAGCATCTGCTGTGTCTAGGCCTTAACTGGATATAAAATGCCTGCTGCAAGGCTGTGACTGGAATATATTTTAAGACACTTTAGGGTGACCTGCGCCTGCACATCCAGACCTGAATGCCTGGACACACCAGGTTTAGATGAGAACTAAGCCAGCCAGTGGCTGGAACACGCCGGCCAGGAAACCCGAGAGGCCCCGGCCGCAGGTGCTGGAAACACTTCCTGCCTGTCAGCAAGCACCAGGCCCTGCCTTGGGTGGTGGACCCCTTCCCGCAGGGTCAGGAAGACGGTGGGCAGTACCAGGGCTGCCTTCTTCCCGCATCGTGTGAGCTGAGCCTCGAAGCCTTTGGAAGAAAAGGAACGTCTTTTAAATGCCATGACTGCAGTCTACACTTTACACCCATCTCTGCTCTGCTAGACTGTAAACTCCTTGCGGCTGGAAGGAGAACTCATCCGTGTTTCTTCTCAGTACCTGTCATGGGCCAGCACAACACGCCTGTCAGAGGCATGCAATGTGGGGTAATTGTATGACGCTGCTGTGAAATGCACGGCACGGCATTCCATTTACGAGGTCTCAAAGTATTAGTTCTTCTCACTAATTTATGTCAAAGAATCTTCTGGGAAACGGAGTGATCCATGTAATCAAAGCTACTCATACGTTCGAAACTGAAAAAGCCCAGTTCAAAGCAGGGGTTTTGTTGCGTGCATATTAGCATTTATATTACGTATTATACTAGGTTCAAGGCTGACATTGTTTAGCGCCTCCGTGATAAGTATGTGCTTGCTTTGCACAGTGTTAAGAGTGCCAAGTAAAACTGTAGACTGTTTCTTTTCCTCCCTCTCTTTTCTATAATTTATCAGACCGAATTATTTTGGCAAGGGCTAGCAAATCACCTAGTCTCCCTGTGAATAATGAGACATTGTTTGTTTGTTCCCGAATAGGAGATTTATTTTTACCCACAGCCTGAACCCGAGTGATACATGCCATAGATGCATTTCACACTGTGGCCAATACAGTGGAAAATCATATCCCGGGGTGGGCGGTCTGCTTCCCCCTGCCCTGCCCCGGTTCTGCCATTGCCATGGTAGGGAAGTCGTGGCCTTTTCCAATGACTCAGTTTCCTTACATAACAAGGAAGTCTGATCAGAGCTCTGATCTCCCCTCCTTTGCTGCAACTATGGGATTCTTGCTCGGATCTTATCGGGAATCAGAAATTATTAACTCCTGGTATGGAAAAAAAGAATGATAGCTTTTAATTACTTTCCTATTTATGGATTACAGGAAAGATATGTTTCTATAAGGCTGACTTAGAAGGAAGTTGGTCTTTTCCAATTTTATTGGTGTTATCTTGACGCTTCACAAGGGGCAAATTAACCCTTTGTAACCACGGATAAACCAGCCTTCCCTGGGCACCCTGGTGACAGACCTGCCGAGGGTGTGGAGTTAGAGGAGAGGGTTGATGCCACTGAGGCAAGTGGTGGGCAGCTAGGGTACCACCCATCAAGACCTGATGAGAAGCAGCTTTTTGCGTTTAATTAAAAACACAACTTTTAGAATGCCTCATTCATTTTTTTGTTTTTATAAAATCAAAACACAGGAATTTTTCTTAAATGAAAAACAGAGACAGTTTCAACTTTTTTTTTTTTAAGCAAGCGAGTTAAAAAAAGAAGCCCAGGAAATTGTCCTTTGTAATCCTGCCAGTTTCAATTTTGATTCTTTATGCAACTAGTATCAGGATAATAATATTTGGTTGAAATGAAAGAGAAGAAAAGTTCCAAGAAGCTGTTCTGCACACATTTTGGTTGTTTGATTGGCTGATGTCAGGCTAGCTACTGTTATTTTGCAATTGCTTTGACAGACGCAAAGAAGAAAAGAACAATTTCAACATTTTAAAATCCCTCAGTAAGCATATATATAATCAGACCCTAAAAACTGTACATGACGATACTTCTATACTTCTAATTATTTTTGACTACCTCTATTAGTGTCACGAATGGAAAGGTCAGATTTAGATAAAAGTTAAATCAAATTAAATATAGATGAATAGTATTTATGAAGTGCCCATGATTTGTTCTTCAGCTTTACTGAAACAATTGGCATTTCTGCTTAGCTACACCCTAGGATCTCGTGGAAAGAACCCAACATTTCATGGTTGCAAAGATTATGAAATATTCAGCTTTACCCATGGGTATTTCCTGACATTTCTTTCGTGAACTGGAGGCTAATAGAAGATATCAGGAATTAGTGTAAGAAACAGTCTAGAAAGCTATTGTCACTACAAAGATGAAAGCAACTTTGATGATCAAGCAGAAGCCAATGAAATAAGACTCAAGTGGTTCCTGAATCCTCCCTATTGTCCATCTGGGATTTCTTTATTTCCCTGCTCTCAATATGTTATGGAATTTTCCGTGTGAAGTTCTGCCATGAATTAGAGTGATGTCAACAAAGTTTTACCTTAAGTCATATTCTATCACAAACTGGGGAGGGCCCAGTCCTCCAGGGAGACCTGTTTCCTGCTTTTAAGAAGCTTGTCTTCTTTTAGTTCCAGCATCCCAGCCAGCTGGGGGGTTGCAGGGAGGCTCAGATGACCTCAGTGACAACTGAGCCTGTGCCAGTCCCATCTGAAGGCCACACAGCCACCCAAGGACGTATTTTCACCTGTGGCCAAATGGGCTCTGCTTCCATCTGCTTTGCTCTTTGCTGCTCTCTGCCCACAGAGAGTTAATGGCATTGCCCGCCGTACCGGGTGTCTGGGGTGGTATTTTTTTCCCTGCCATCCTTAATAAACTCACTTTCCCTATCACTGCTAGGCAGCTTTTTAAACTAGAAATGCTGTAACTTAAAAACTGTCAAGGGGCTTCCCTGGTGGCACAGTGGTTGAGAGTCCACCTGCCGATGCAGGGAACACAGGTTCGTGCCCCCGTCCGGGAAGATCCCACATGCCGCGGAGCGGCTGGGCCCGTGAGCCATGGACGCTGAGCCTGCACGCCCGGAGCCTGTGCTCCGCAATGGGAGAGGCCACAGCAGTGAGAGGCCTGCATACCGCAAAAAAAAAAAAGAAAAAAAAAAACAAAACTGTCATGAAAGGAGCAAAGATTTGGAATTCAGCTAAACCAGGGTGTGAATCCACCTGTACTGGTTACCAGCTGTGTGACCTTGGACGTGTCACTTAACCTCTCTGGGTTTTAGCGTGCCAATTGGGAAATGGGGGGGTAATACTGGCCTTACATGGTTATTATCAGGATAAATGAACTAACATGTGTAACGTTTCTCGTACAGTGTCTCTCATCTTGTGGGCCTTCAATAAATATAGTTACTATTAGTTTTTCATCCTAGAATTTCCTATTTTGTGATCCTATCATGGACTGTCCGACACAGACCCTATACAAGACATATCGTATATAGACATGATATATACGTACATGACACAAACATGACATGTATATGATGCAGGGCATACATTAGACAGTAGGAAGGAATTACAGGAGGTCCAGTCCATTCAGTAAGTATTATTACTTGGCATCTATTAGATGCTTACACCTGCCATTTTGTGCAATCCCTACCTTGGGGTCCTGTTTGTAAACAACTCCAGAGATGACAGAAGTTCCTCTATTCGCCTTACTTCAGGGCTTACTCTTCTGACAAGGCCAAAATGACCTAACCCAATATCCCTGTACTGAATTGACTACGAGACAACCAAAGTATAAGCGTCTGCCAACACCTACGGCGGGTTCTGTCCATAAAGATCTGTGGCACTTAGAAGAATTTTAGTAATGCTGTACGCAACAGCTGGGGACAGTGCGTTTACAAAAGGCTTCATTAAGACTCATGAAGTTTATTAAGACACTGTTGACTTTTCAGTTTAAATTTAGTTAAATTTACTTTAAATGTAAAAGAATTGGATGAAAATGATCCTGTGGTTTGAAAATAAGATAGGTCATTGGCTATTGTCAAAGCCAGATTATTCCGGTTATACTAGATTTGTTTCATTAACACACTGGAAAGAAGGAGGAGGAAATTAAAATTCAAAAGAAAACATGATCTATGTCCCTGTGTTCTGATATGAGGACGCAGCAGACATCGTTGGCTGCGTCCCCAACACATTTCCCCTCTCCCTTGTCTGGGCTGTCCTTCCTTTTATGACTCCATCGCCGGCAGGCAGACCCTAAGTGGTCCAGCCTAGTTTGGTACCCTCCAGCCTCCCGCCAGGGATTGGACGTGTGACCTGCTCTGAGCGTGTGACCTGCTCTGGCCAATGAGACGAGAAGGGAGCTGCGTACGGGGGTGCTTCTGGGAAAGGTCTCCTGACTTTGCGGAAGGGCACCCTGGAAACGTAAGTCCCTTTTTGCCCCTGGATACTGCTAGATCTGCGCGGGATGCCTGGAGCTGCTGTGAGCACCGCGGAGCTGGCTTTGGGATGGACCCTACACAGGAGGTAGAGCCGTGGGAGCGAGAGAGAGAGGCGGAGCCAGCAACCCAGGGCTCCCTGCCCAGAGCCCACCCTACCTACAGGCTTTCTGCGACAGAGGTTAACAGGTTGCGAGGCAACAGATCCCTTTGTTGTAGCAAGGGGCCGAGGATTCTGTTACTCGCGGCCAAAGCACCCGGTGGAAACAGGACACACGTGAGCTCCTGGACCTGGAGAAAGTGAACGAGCAAACCAGCCGAGCGGGCAGTACCTGCTCCTGTGATTCCAGTTCCTTGTGCTGCAGTTTTTTCTCCAAACATCGTGCTTGATTCGAGCGCTTTTCTAGCTCGTCTTGTAAAGCCTGAAACGGTATAAGAGAAATACAAAAACATTAAAAATTAGCAGCCTTGGAAAAAAGTTTTACCACCTGAACTGGTATCAAAAAGGCCTCAGCTCTGGTTTATTACTGCGGCTCCAAAACCAGCCTTTTAGTATCAGGCCCAGATGTTTTCTACTTTAGGGATAACTAGTATCAAAAACTCCAAACTCACAAACCAGACACATTAGCAGGTGTCAATTCATCTTATAAAAACATTTCCTATTCCCAGCATAGACACACAAGCACGCAATAAAGTGTAGAACTATTGCTAATTAAAGGAGCTCTATCAGGACACCTGCGAGGTACGCCCACACTCTGAAAAGTGTCCTGATAGCTAGGAATCGTAACACTGGACCGACATGACATTGTTCAAAATTATACTCTGGTCATTGGAGTATGTTATGGTAACCTTAAAGGCATTTTTTATTAAGCCATCGAGGATGGCATGGAATTTGAGGAAACTGTAAGAAATAGACAGAGATGAACACTTTCAGTTGCCAAGTAGCTGTTGGAAATCAAATTCAGGTTCAGGCTGGGGGAAGCCGGGAATGGAAAGATCGGTAAGTATCATTGTATCCATTACTACTTTAAGTAAAGAGGTGAACTAGAAAAGAAACAGGATCCATTCAAACAATCTGATGTTAATTATAGATATAGCACGTGGGAAATGATGGCGAACAGAACACACTCTCAAAGAGTGACTGCAAAGATGCTAAACGAATTCTCAAAATAAAATTCATTCAATTAAGACTCCTGAGTTTCTGCTCTAGGTGAAGGACTGTGACACGTATTCCAAATAAAGCGGTGAAAGAAAACAGACAAAACACATTCCCTGCTCTCACGGAGCTTCTGCTGTACTGGGGCAGACAATAAGCAAACCGTGAGCATAATATATGTCAGTGGTTAAGTGTGGAGGGAAAATACTGCGGGGAAGGAGGCTATCCTGGAACGTGGTGAGGAGGGGTGTTGCAGTTTTAAACAGATGGCCCAAGACAACCTAACTGAGCCAAACCTGAAGGAGAAGAGCGAGCAGGTCACAGAGACACGTGCAGGAAGAACCTTCCAGGCAGGGACCCCTCCACATACCGGGGGTCGAGTCACGTCAGGTCCCATGAAGCCTCAGAGGGCACTTGAGGACTTCAGGCTTTATTCGAGGTAGACGGGGGCTCCTGGAGGGCTGTGGGCAGGGTTGCTTTGGTTGCCGTGAAAAACAGATGGAAGAGGGACACGGGCAGAGGCAGAGAGGCAGGGTCGAGGCAGTGAAAACACACCGGGAAAGGGTGGTGGAGAACTGGACCAGCTGGGGGTGAGGCAGCGGCAGACTCCCAGTCTATCTGAAGATAGAGATCGCAGCTCCAGGGAAAGAACGCAGAGCATGAAAAGTAAAAAAAGAGAAGAGACTCCGGGATTTTGGCTTGAGCAGGTAGAAGACTGCAGTTGGGGAGGTTTGGGACGGGAGGGACAGGTGTGGGGGAGAAGGTCGGAGCTCAGCCTGCGGTACGTCGAGTGCGGGATGCCTGTTCCACATCCAAGCCGAGATGCTGGGCGGCAGCTGGGGGGAAGAGTCTGGAGTTCAGACACGATGTCTCGGTTTGTATCCACTAAAAATTCTTTCAATGCAATTCCAGCCTTTTCTCCATGCAGACAGAGACCGTGGTTCTTACCTTTTTCTGGAGTTCTAGCTCCACTGGAGCGTCTGGCAAATGCCGTGTGGTCACTCCCCACGTGGAAAACAGTGCTTATTATTTTGCCTGTGATTTCAGGGAGTCCAGTTGCCTGAAGCCTGTCCATGGATGGACCCCAGGCTAAGAACCTCTATTTAAAAGAGTATAGGGCTTCCCTGGTGGCGCAGTGGTTGAGAGTCCGCCTGCCGATGCAGGGGACGCGGGTTCGTGCCCCGGTCCAGGAAGATCCCACATGCCGCGGAGCGGCTGGGCCCGTGAGCCATGGCCGCTGAGCCTGCGCGTCCGGAGCCTGTGCTCCGCAACGGGAGAGGCCACAACAGTGAGAGGCCCGTGTAACGCAAAAAAAAAAAACAAGCAAAAAAACTCAAAAAAAAAAATCAGTTTAAAAAATAGAGAGTAACCAAGTAATATCCCACTTTCCAAAAAGTGAAAATGTATCAGACTAAAGGAAAAGGACAGCTGTTCCTGGTCTCATATTCTAAAAAGTTATTAGGTCATGAGATGTTCATCCTCAGTTTGCCAGAGGCCTGTATGAACACAACCACAGCTACCGAGCGAGCACAAGAAGGACCTTTCTTTTAAGTTGTGGCTTCTTTATTCAAAAACCTTCCAATTTGACATCTGACACACCCACAAAACAGAACTTTTACTTTATTCCTGAGAAAAGCCCAAGATCATTAAAGAAGGGAATGTCCAACACTGGGTCAAAAATCTAAAACAAAATCCAACTTGAACGGCTACGCTGTTTATTCTGCAAAAGTAGGCCCCGCCTCAGCTCTGCTGTGTGAACTTGCATCACTGCTGAAAGACAGTTCTTTTCTCCCAGTTAAACCTGCCTTTAAATGCCATGCAAGCGGGCTTGCTGGGCCTGGCCACCCTCAGCTGGCTCTCAGAGAACTTCGTGGGGACTGTGAACAAAGAATGACATTTTCCAGAAGAAAAACGTACGTGACATAAGCAGCTCTACAAGAACGACGAGGGCAGGCCACGCTCTTTGGAAGGGAGCCGGTTATAGGAGAACTTGATTTGTTTATTTAAAATATGAAAGTAGTGACAGCACACTAAAGTGTAAAAGATTTGACAGTTTCATGGACTCTCCAGGGTGAGGAGAAGCCAGGGTAGCTAATGCGCCCCGAGGGGCACCTGTGATGGTCCCAGAGCTCTGCTGTTCGTCGGAGAAAGAGTATTATAGTCAACGCTATTTCCATAAAACTTATAAACATGGTTCGAGGCCAGCTGCTCAACTCGTAAAGCCACGCATTAAGGACTTCTAAACACCAAAGCATCGGGGCTTCCCTGGTGGCGCAGTGGTTAAGAATCCGCCTGCCAATGCAGGGGACGCGGGTTCGAGCCCTGGTCCTGGAAGATCCCACATGCCGCGGAACGACTTAGCCCATGCGCCACAACTACTGAGCCTGCGCTCTAGAGCCCGCGATTCACAACTACTGAGCCCACGTGCCTAGAGCCCGTGCTCCGCAAGAGAAGCCACCGCCATGGGAAGCCCGTGCACCACAACGAAGAGTAGCCCCCGCTCACCACAACTAGAGAAAGCCCACGTGCAGCAACGAAGACCCAAGGCGCCAAAAAATCAAAAAAAAAACCAAAACAAAACACCAAAGTATCTCTCATAGGTCTTAAACAAACATGAAATGATGGCAGCTACATGCCTTTTAATAATGGACACATGAAATGCAAGTTCGTTTGAATTATAAGTGGTTAAAAAGTTATTTAGTAAAGGAAAATTTCATTGGAAAGGAGAAAGACTGGGCTGTAATGATACACAAGATATAGTCAGAGCGTCCCTAGTGTACAAGGCATGACAGAGGCTTTCAGACTTAGGATTTAGCACAAGTTTTTCTAGAGATTGCTGACCTTGTCTTTGGCCAAACTCTCAGCCAGGTCCTCCCCTCATCTGAGGGTGGGACTGGGGGGTGGGCGTCCATCTGGCCGGTCAAGCATGCAGACTTGTCTCATAACCCGGGACACCTGCACTGCAGGGTCTCACCAGACGGCATGATCTCAAACTCCCCACTTTTTTTTACCAAAAACCTCAGCTGTGAGAAATGTGGAAAAATCCACTTGCAGATCGAAACAGAATCAGTAGCATAGAAGTCACCTTTCTCCTGAATCACACATTCCACAGAACTGTGCCCTCCACTTTTTAGGAGTTTTCAGACCAGTTCTCACTGACTTGAGATTCGGTGTGTCCTCCGTGCACCCTGCCTCATTCTGTGTTGCCAGGTCGTGGCTCATGCTTGTGTCTGGCTTTGTCACAAGTCACCACGAGGTTGGCGGTACATCTTCTGGGCCAGCCGTCCGTATGAGGGCTGAAGCGCAAACGGCTCCTTCCCTGAGTGCGGGCCCATAGAACATGTTCTCCCGGAAGTGGGACCTTGAATGGTACAGCGTTCTTTTATTTAAAGGGACTGGATTAAATCAGATGTAAGCAAAAAAGATTGCGGATGAAGTTTTGCCCTATTTAAGTATAAAACTGGGGTTCTCAAAGTCGTTGATTTTGCGTTAAGTCTGTGGTCAGGAATCAAGGAAGCCGATGAGCCTCTGCTGGGTGAGACACAGAAGGGGCCTCACCAGCAGCAACTCCGTGTAGCCAAGGAGATGGGCAAGGAAGAAAAGCAGTGTCTGTATGAAAGACACTGCCAAGAAGGAGTCAGTCCCGCAAACTGTTAAAAACTGGTGAAGCCGGGTGGTGGGTAGATGGGGATTCTGCATATTATTCTCCCTACTTTTGCGTATGTTTGAAAGTTTCCCTAATAAAGAAAAAAAGAATTTTTAAAGCTTTTTCTAGTTAAAAAACATGAAGTCACCATATCCTTCCTTTCATGAGGTTTGAATTTACTGTTTTACTTCAGAAAAAACAGATGATTCATTCGTCCTTCAGTGAATAGGCGGGATGTGCAAGGATTTCCCCATGTATATTTTGGAAGCAGGGAGTGGGGTGTTCATATTTTGACCTAAGGAGAAGATAACAGGAAAGGGAAGGCTTACTTATATTTTTATTGAGATACAATTTACTTATGGTAAAACTCTAAAATTTCTTAAAAAAATTGGTGATGGTCTGTTTTCCATTTAAAACATGTAATATGATTTAAAAGTTTGTGTCATAAAATATCTGTTCAGATAATAAAATCTTGCTATAAACCATCTTCCACTGATTGGTTTATCCATCAAACTGAAATGACACCCGACCTGTGACTACAGTGAAGAGACACAAATTATAAAAGGGAAGGAAGCAGAACTCTCATTTAAACCTTAACTGCCTTTTTAACAATGCCCAAG